ACGTCGTATCAAAGCCAAATCTCTGCAGTACAACGCAAATCAGCCGTCGTCTTCTGGTGAGATCGGCATTGTAATCCTTTATTCGTGCACTTTCATACGAAATGAAGGTGTCTTCAACAATGTTATTTTATGAGATCCATCGAAACTCAGTTTCCTTTCGTATCGGAGATAGTTGAACAGAAAATTGGTCAAGAGGATGGGCTTCATTTGTCACTTCGCGAAGTTGTAACTCTGTGCTAAGCACGGTACTTTTTTCTGACGATGCAGTACCAATAGAACGTACCGATGCTGAAAATTATCACAGATACTATGGAAAAAGAAACAGGACTGAATATTACTCTGTTTGAGCCATAGAAACGAGGCCAAAATGACTCTAAAGCATAGGATGACGGACCACATTATGAAATCTGCTTTTTTGAAAGGATGCTTTTGTTACCACCGCTAGATCTGAAATAAAAAACTTATTTACCCTATCTCATTTTAGGTGATGAAAGACTGGCAATCGAATTTTCCCACAAACTATTGAATATGCCTCACTTTACTACCGTCTGGACTCGAATCCGGCTTGAAGTAGACCAGCGTATAGTTTGACACTCTGATCACTATGTCAGACGGCGAAAAGAATGCCCTTGGGTAACAGGGCCGATGTAAATTTCAATGAAGTCTAGGCTTTTTCCATATCAGTCCTGAGTTCTTATCCATTTAAACAAAATAGGGTGAATGGAGCTCTTATATCAGAGTTGCTGGTATTCTCGAAAAACCCATTTTTAAAACGAAAATTAAGTCATATGGCAGATTGCTATAGCAACTAAAACTTCACTTCGTAGACAAGTCAATCAGATAAATTTACATTTGCCCTCTAACCTAAGGCACGCCTTGCAGTCTGTCGTAGTGGTCAACGTATCAAGACCAAATGCTGCACTGCCACAATCCGGGTTCGAGCTCAGCTGGGGAGCTGATGAGAGCTGAGGAGGTCGAAGCTCAGTCCAGTCTGGATGAGAACATATTTTAAGAGGCAAAGCTATGGGAAATGTAATGGAAACATAAGGCCAACTTGTTTGTTTGTGCAAAAATTCAACTACCATTCCTTCATCATGTGAAATGAAATAGGGTAAATAGCACTCTTGCATCAAATCATGAGATTTCGTGTCAAGTCAACTGTCACCTTTCTTGCCTTCATGTGTGGTGAATTCTGACGATTATAATGTGGCATGACTCTCCATTTCGAAGGGAATGATGGTTGGAAGGAATTCGTGATGAGGTATCACCGAAAACTGCCGCTTAGGAAAGACTGTTGAATTGTGCAGAGGTCCTCGGCTCACCGTCCTGCGACCCCGACGAAACCGTGCTAAGCTTTCTTCTGTACCGCCGTGACCGACATCATCAGAACAGTTATCCCTACTTCATGAAATAGAGCAAAATTATATTAAATCAAGAGAAAAGCTGGCCGGCAGCAACCCTCATTTGTAAGCATGTTGAAGTAGCCAACTAAATCTGGGGATGCCTAATTAAAATCGCGATGTTGGGTGCAAAAAAGAGCGACTAGGGTTGCAGCCGGACACCTTCGTCTCTTGGTTTAGTATATTTTTGTTTTTTTTTGTAAAGTATGAATGCCTGCTCCGATGATGTTTGCCCCGGTGCTACAGACGAAAGCTTAGAACAGTTTCAACAGTCTTCCCTACGCGGCCATCCTCCTGCGGTTTCCGGTGAGAACTCATCGCGAATTCCTTCCAACCAACTTTCCATTCGAATTGGAGAGTCACAATGGGACAGATGAAGACGGATCATGGATATTTCGAGGTCGCGGGAAAAAGCGCTGACGATTTGCTCGCACAAATCTACAGTCACATCTTCCGGTCTCAGTTGGGGCCAATTCACGAAAGCCTCCATTCGCCTCTTCAAATTTTTGCAAAAATTCTGCTTCAACGGATCGCCTCGTTTCGTCGATTTCTCAGAGACGCTGCCGTCCCGAGACTTTTCTGTGCGGCTTCAGAAGAAGTCACAACGAATTGAAGGTGGTTGTGGAGGATGGAGGAGGGGGTGTGTGATGGTGTGATGGTGTGATGGTGTGATGGTGTGATGGTGTGATGGTGTGATGGTGTGATGGTGTGA